GGCGGGCGCAGGGTACAAGGAGCAGGGGAAGGACAGTCCTCTGTCTCAGGTCAAGAGCCAGCAGGAGATAGACATCAGGGTAGCGAGCACGTGTTACTTGGGGCGGAGGTCACTGCCTTTTGGAGGACTTACTTCTAGGGGGTTATTTTAAAAGGTGCCCCAGCTAAGCAAGGCGGGAACTCAAGCCCTTATCAAGTCCTCATTTAACATCCAGACACTTGGTGTGAGTCAGCAACTCGGAAAAACAAAAGTTTTTCTCCCAGCGCCTCTCCGGGGAGCCACCTGAGTGCAAAAAGAGGAAGCACGTCCAGGAGGCTCTCCCAAGTCCCCGAGATGGCTGCCCAGGGGTGCGCCCGGTGCTGGCTGTCGCTCCCCGCGCTGCTGCTGCTGCTGGCAGCGGGCAGTGCGGGCAGCGCGCACGCGCGGTGGGGCGGGCAGGGCACCAGCCCGCACCTGCAGAGCATCTTCCTGGGCCGCTGCGCCGAGTACAGCACGCTGCTGGGCCCCCAGCTCAGGTGAGCGCCGCGGGCGGGCGCGGGGTCCATGCAGGGCGGAGGAGCCTGGAAGAGAGAAGGAAATAAAGCGGGGGGCGGCGGGGGGTGAGAAAAATACAGGGGTGGGGGAAGCGGGCAGTCAGCAGCTGGGGAGGGTGTGAGGAGAGGGAAATGGGGTCCAAAGTGGGGGAAGTAGGGAGTCTTGACGGATGCGCGCGTGTGTGAGGGCGGTTGGGGTTCTAAAGGTCACGTGTGGAGGGTGGGGAACCTCGAAGGAGGGGCCAGTGTGTGGGGACTGCAAATGAGGGCTGTGTTTGTGTGTGTACGTGTGTGTAAATGAAGGAGGTTGTGGGGTGTCAGTCTAGAGGTGAGGATTAGGGACAGGTGAGTTTGGATGACAGCCCAGAACTGGCAGATCCAGGAACTCCATGAGTCCGGGAACTTTAGGAATTCAAATTTCAGATCCAATCCAGAGGACTTTTTAAGTTCGAGGCTCTTTGCCAGCACTGCGCTAATTTTTGTTCCTTCTTCAGACCCACGTTTTCTGTTTTCATAGCCCCTTTCTTGTGCTAGTTGTTTTTTAATGTGACACATTTAAGGCAAAAAAATAAAAATAAAAATAAAAAACAAAAAATGGAGGATCACACAAGGAACACCCATGTTACTCGCCACCCAACATGGAAAAGAAAACGTTGCAAATGCAGTGGGTAACATTTCTAGAAGGCTAGACTGGAAGTCAGGAGGTGTGGCTGGCACTGGAGGCCATCCTTTCTGTGTTCCAGGGGGTGCCACAGCCTTTCTGAGCACTTGGCTGTTACTCCTGAGTTTACAAGGTCCTGAACGCCGGCCTGACCTCACCTGGCCCCAGCCCCACAATGGACCTCATTGTCTAAAGGAAGGAGCTGGGAGCTTGCCATGACTTGTTGGAATGGTCACTTTCTGGCTTGGTGCCTCTTCTGCTCTGAGCCTGGGGCGAAACTATTCCTTAGCTCTGAAAATTATGTGTAGCACCTTCTGAGAGACACTTCCACTGTCAGATTTCTAAATACATCCCCTAAGTTATTTATTTTTTCCTCTTCTGAATTGGGGTTAATGCATGAGCCATGGTAATTTCCTGTCTTTTTTGTATGCTTATTTCAGCAGAGCGGACGTATGACAAAATGGCTTGTAAAGCTTTTGGAGTACACTGGGAGAAATGAAAAGACATCATTCACACTGTAATGCGTGTGCGTGTTTTTTTTCTTTTATAAACTTCTCCTTTCGCACAGGGACAAGAACTGCACAGCCATCTGGGAAGCTTTTAGAGCGGTGCTGGATAAGGAGCCCTGCGCTGTGCTTCCCTCAGACTACGACCCTTTTATAAGCCTCTCCAGGCACTCCATTCCCCAGGACAAGGTAACTCTTCAGCTCCACGCCCTGTAAAACTCTGCTTTCTGTCTTTAGAGGGGTGTGAGAGAGTGGCCTCCAGCAACCCTGCAGTGAGCGTTACCGCAAACTCACGATGCGTCTGCTCTTGTGGTGAGAAGGTGGCTTCCTCTTCCTCAGTGATCCTGGGCCTCCTGCCTGTCCCAGCAGAAGGAAATTTCCTGTCAACAAGTCAGTGCAAGAAGCAAGAGGACTTCGGGACAGTGCCACACTTTCACACTGGGCCTCCTCCCCTGGTCAATTCTGTTCTAACTGACCCTCAAGGCTTGGACCTTGAGTAATTCAGAAAGCACTCACACTCAAGTGTCCTCCCAGAAAAACCAGCTTCTCCCTTTAATGGGCCGTAAGATTATATCTATTCAGTATTGGTAAGAAAACCACATGTCTGTTTTCTGTCTGTGCTCTAAATTCTAACGAAATGAAAATACATGAGAAAAATCTATGTAAAATGCTTGCCTAGAACAGTACCTTGAGTATAAAGAACATTAGGTAGCATTTTGGTTTTTCTGACATAATTCTCAGCCTGATTTTTTTCATGGTAAAATCTTCACATTGATTGTTTTTTTCTCTCGTAAGTGCAGGTAAATGGAGCCGAAGTTTCAGAGATATACTAGACTGAAAACATGATTTTTAAGTATATGTTGCGCTTTGAACCTTACTGCCTCCTTGCCAGTAAAAAGGGAAGCCATAAATTTTGTCCTCTTCTCTCAAAGATTTTGGTTCTAGTTGATGAACTCAGTAAATACTTACTAAGCTACTTCCACGTGCCAGGCATTGTGCTGAGGGTTGAGGATGCCACGGGGAACAAAATGTTCCCTGCCCTTGGGAGCTTCCGTCTACACAGAGCTGGATTGGAGACGTAGGCTCTGATGAGATAATGAGCGAGCGGGCATTGCTCATTGTGTTATTGTTATGTGCGAACACTATGACTTTATAAAGGGAGCTCTAAAGTATAATACAAAAGTTGGCCATTCGTGAGGCTCTTTGCACTTTAGAAAGTGCCTTTTGTGATTGCATATCATCCCAACCACGGCCGTGGAAGGAGAAAAAGGACTCCTGCTCTCCATTTTCCAGATGTGGAAACCGAGGCACAGGGAGATTACACGCCCTGGTCAAGGTCACACATCTAGTGTGTCACAGAGTCAGGATTCGAACCCAGGCCCCTTGATCTTCTTTTAAATCCAGGGATCTCCACACACACACACACACACACACACACACACACACTCCACATTGTACCACTGAGAAAACATCTCATTCGCATTTGCTCAACACCCTTGATAAAGGGCA